GCTTGTGTAATTAGCGGCTTCAAACTGTTCAGACAGTCTTAGAAGATGCGATAATTATTTATGGCTTTTTTAAGATGCGTTGCGTAAAAGTTGGGTTTGAAGTTTTTGAAAATGGTTTTCTTATAGGATTCACCTTAAAATAACTCAAATTGACTGATTACAACTGAAGTTCAAATTCCTCTCTCAAATTCATTACTTTGAAGTAATCTTCGCACAAGCCGCGTATCTCCTATTTGTACCACACATCAAGGAAAAGAAACCTACATAAGACCCCTAATCCTTAAATCACATTTCTCTTATTCTACTAATCTTCCCGCCGTGTCTCTTGAACCAGGGCAGCGCTCAAAGCTCGTGGAACGCCAATTCATATTTAATCTTCAGTAAGCCGATTTTCATTTTAGTAATCCCCGAATTCCAACGATTGTACTTGGTAACCTAACAAGGGCAGTAATTAACAATAATTTATATAAGGGTTAGTGGACTTATTTTGAGGTCTGATCTTTAAACTTAAGCGCTCGAACATGAGACCCTTGGTTGAGCTTGGGGGTAATAAATAATTCAGCGCTGATTAATCGTAGGTTTGATGGCAGATCCAGGTATCAAAGGTTCGGGATTATCTTGGTACACACTTTGTGGTATGTAAAGTTGGTAACGTGAGTATTGAACCGCTCATAATATATTAGAGGCCCGCAGAGAGCGTTCTACTTTCACGAATTATTACAGTACTCTAGCCCTTAAAACGCAAGTTTGATCAAATAGAATTAGAAAATCCTCTGACTGATCCAGTAAAATTATAAAGATATATAAATAATTATGCTTTATTAGCTGTTGTACGTGACTTCATACGCATAGAATATGATTCCTGTATTATCCCATGGGAACATTTATTTGGAATAAAAAGTCGTATTACTTAAGTCAGCTCATACCCTACCTGTATACCAAATTACATGAAAATCAGTTTCGTAATTTTGATTGATCGACAAACATCTAAATACAGAAATATTTCACATTTATAATATAAGTGTGATTGTAAATAACTTAAACAGATTATATTACAAAATTAAGTTAAGTTTTTATTTAGTTAAATGAAACAGGATACTTTTCTGACGTGTTGTATCTTTTAAATTATTTGTCCACCAACGTTTTGTAATGGCTATATTGTATTCTGCACTGTGAAATTGAAAGACTTCCTCGAGACGACAGTGAAGATTGATGATAATGCACTTTCTTGTCTTTTTTTTCGTTTAAAAGACTTCTTGGAAAGAATGACTGCGTTCATGTCTGTGCACCAGTTGGCGCCACTGGCGAGTTTAGTCTGTAAGGGCAATTACTGTCACCATCAAAATATAACAGGATTAATGGAAAATTGTATACGGATGCTGGAGTTCTGGCTAGAGCTTCAAACAGTTTGTTTCAAAGAAAATAATTACCTAATTGTCCTAACTGAATTTTACTATAACCTAATAGAAAATAGAGATTCGTGTTGTGCATTGGGTTACCGAAAATTCTTTTTAAACATTTTCAAATTCAACAGATAAGAAAATTAAAAATATACCTCACAAAAATAAAGCTACCGATTCTTCAAATGGCTACAGAATTATTCTTAATTGAATGACAATATTTTTTCCTCAGAGCTGAAATTGAAAGGCAAAAACAAAGTAGACGGACTAGCAAATAGAATGTGGTTTTAGTTCGTCTCATAAAAATAAATCAAACGACTTTAAAATCAGGATTCCACGTAATCTCTCCGTCTATTACCCCGAGGAATTCCTCCTCTATTCGAGAATAAACCTTAAACTGATTACATTTAGAATCAAAGTAGCCTTACATGACACCGATTCAATTTAACTTCAAGAGCAATGCTTAATCGCAAACAAGTCTCTATTTTATCGTCTATAAAGTTCAACTTTGAATAAATGTGTATATCGTTTTAAAAGTGAATATTTTTGTTGAATTAAACTCTTCATTTATAGAGTTGTTTCTTTGTGTATTAATTAAAAACTCGTTAATTGTTACGTACAGGAGTATAAAATGCTATTAAAACTTTTTAAAAATGTATAAATATGGGTCGTTGTGCTGATTACACGCGTTGCAACTCTTCTTCATTATTTTAATGGATAAAATTTGATTTTTACATTTCAGAAAAACGTTTAAACTAGAGTGTGTTAGACAGGGTGTGTTAAAACCAACAATTTCAATACAGTATAATTAAGACTTGGAATTATTCTACTATTAACTTTAATTTAATTTTAAAATAAAACGTCACCCCACATTAGGATTTTCTCCTGTGTCGTGGGTGCGTTTACAAACATACAAGTTCACATACACATAACACCCAGACCCGAAACAACAATCTATGAATCACATCACACAAAGAGTTCTTCCGTGCGGGAATCGAAACCGCGACACGTTGCGCGGCAGTCAGTTGCCCAATTACTGCGCCAACCATGCAATCGAATATCGTGCCGTCGTCCATTATACTGCTACTGATTTTCCCACATACCTATATCTCGAAAAGTATTCAGCAAAAAACATAATGTACTGTAAATACAAATACACTTACTACCCCCTTCATCTCGAGTAATAAAACCACAATGTTAAGTTTGAAAAAGCCATCATATTCCTACTAATGCTTTACACGCACAAGAATTTCTTTTCAAATTGCGGTAATACCATCATATGAAAATGATTCAGGATACGGTAAACGAAAAATAAAAAATAAGCTTTCAAGAAATATGTACAGTGGGATCCCCATGTTACAAATGGTCGCTTAGCAACGTACGGGTGAGGGAAGTGTTAGGTGAAAAAAAATCATAAAAAGGAGTTTATTTTTGTCAGATACCGGGTGTTACTCTGTTATAATGGCCTTGTGTGGTCGTTAGTGAGATCCTGCGGTACGATATGTTTAAGGTAAATAAAAATAAGTAGAATTTTGCATTGTTTTCGTAGTTTTGGATATTTAGGTGTTAGATAAGTTGTTATGAACTTTTAGCTACATCACATTATACGAAGACTTATATCTTGTACTAGAATAACAATATAAACCATAATATTACACCTTTTAATCCTCATAGTTAGGTTTTTAATAAAGAAAAGTCCAAAAAGACTTCGACAAACATTTTTTTTTGTATCATGACGGTGCCAAAAACGCACACGGCCCACCCGATGGTAAGCGGTTACCGTGGCCTATGCACGCTTGCAACACTTGGGGCATTACATGCGTCTTGCCGACCCTTAAGAAATCTATTCACTCCCTACGTGAATAATTGAACATTTACTTCGTTTAGTTGTATTTGAGATTACTAAACGAAGCCATAAAAAATAAAATGTTTTGTTGTGTCCTTAAAGCCTATACTTAAACTAATTGCTGCCCAAAACTATATTCGCGTTAAATATTGACTTAATTTTTTTGAACCCCATTCTGAACCTCTTTTTATCCCCTAAAACGAAATCATACTATACCCTAAACCACTCGTAAAGAACAGTCCAGTCCACTAAGCAACCATTCCCATCAAACAAGTTACTATTTCAAGTACATCTTATAGTTTTCCTCGTCCGTATAACCACGAAACACTATCCCATCTCTTTTATCTAACTTCCAAACGGATTGATTAATAGCGGTACGTTTTATTGTGGCTTATCCTTCTTTATCCCGTAATTAAGTCCGAATTTAACCGTAATCCCGGTACAATCGAGTCAACCTGTATCTTATTTCGAATTGTAATCGGTCTAGTTTAGTTTATCGGTAGAAAACTATATTATCTTAAAATTGCGAGTGATTAAATAAATGAAAGCAATTGCTTGCAGTGCTTTTTTCTATTTTTTGACTAAACTAATAACCTATATAATTATATAAAAATGAATTCCTTTTTCCCTTGATCATGGCATCGCGCCTGAATGGCTGGATCGATTTTACTTATTCTTTTTTGTTGTAGGTATTTGTTATTATTAGGAGAAGGTTCTTAAGACAGAAAAAGTCCTGAAAATCGTACGGGAACGAGAGAAAACGGGATTGCAGGCAGAAGCTAGTATTTCATGAATCTCATTTGAAAACTGTATTAACAATATGGTTTTTTTATGAAATCATATACCTACGACTTTAATATTTACGCACATTGACAAATGGAACTTGCCTCTATAGTGGTTGGAAAAAGTCCTTCCCTCTTTCATCGAAATCATTTTAATGGATTATTGTTAGCTGCTCAGCCACAGAATGGAATAATACGAAATATTACAAAACAAACCAGAAATACAATTACATTTAGAGAGAACAAAGCGCTATTTACCTATTTTTGTTTGCAACAATTTTAACAGCTTTCAAAAATCAAACAATAAGAAGCAACAAACAATTTTACTTTTACATTAAATTACACAAAAACCAGTGTAAAGTAGATACTTACTTTCATCAAAATTCCTCAATATAACTTTTATTATTATCTAAATTCCAAGTTTAATGGTTGTTAAATCGGAAATACCTGTTAATTAACAAGAGAAAACTCTTTGTTTTCTTCCTCAATATTAACAATTAAATAATAAGTTGAGAACGATGCCAAAAACAGTCTAATAAATGAGTTTATTTGTAAATAAATTGTTCGAAATTGAGCCGATTGTTTATAGGTACTTGTTTGAGATATTTCGATTCTGTTCCCACAAAAAAATAAAAGTTGTTAATTAGAACCTCACGCTTGATACTTATGGACTTACGAAACCGTCTAAGTATTATTTATTTCATAATCACTTTGTTCAAAATTGTGGCCGTATTATTAAGTCTTTTGTCTTTAAAAACAATACAGCAATCGACAATACACTAATCCATTTCAATATTTTAGATTACATTTTCGGGTTACGTATTTATTTCAACACTATCTTTAGTGACACAGGACGTCTTTTTTCTTTTTCATCAAATTGAGTTCAATCTGAACCGGTTGAACTGACACGATTGAGAAAGATCCAGATCATGATCAGTAGATTATATTGACGTGAATTTTCTTTTGTTCCAGGGGTGGTGTTAGCCTAAGATGGTGTTGGCGCTGGTGGTCGGAGTGTTGTGCGTGTGGGGCCGCCTGAGCGACGCAAACCCAGAAGCGAAGCGGCTATATGACGACCTGCTTTCCAACTACAACCGCCTCATCCGGCCCGTTGGCAACAATTCTGATCGACTCACTGTCAAGATGGGACTTAGGCTCAGTCAGCTCATCGACGTTGTGAGTACCTTTTATACTATTATAGCTCTTATATTTGTGATTTTGGGGATCTTTTTGCGTGATATAAATATCTTCTAATAAGAGATGTTTGTCAGATGTTAAGTTAGACTTAGAAAACAATAACACTATCACGAAACCAGTTGAATTTAAGCTAAATCTAGCGCCCAACAGAATATAAATAACAATCGGTAAAAATCCACGTCTTTAGCAAAAACAAAGAACCAACTAGGCAACTTGATTTAACAACAATTTGTCATATAAACACGTTTCCATAAAAACATGCCAACATTTTTATTCTCTACACTAAACTAAAAAACTCTTCAGTTAAACTGAATCCTTTTGAAATTATGTAATTTAATTTATAATTCGTTCACGTTTTCCGTAGTAAATTATTTCGGAATGAGATAGCAGGCTTATCCGGGCATGCTCATCAAATCCTTTCATTAAAAACCGGCTTAGTTACACTATCGTATCGTTCCAATCCAACGGTTATTCTGTATAGAGAAACTAACTATATTCTCTACTGGATTTTTAACTAAAATGTATTTTCAACCAACTTATAACTAATGTAAGATTCATTTTATCGATTTTAAGCCCAAGTGCTACACGTTATTGTACTTATCTACTCTTCCAAACACAAATATAAAGCGGTATGTATGAAGTTTAAGGTAATTAGAGATCTCAAAATCTTCAATCTATTTTCCTATAACTAGACAATCTCTATATAGACCATCCGAAAGTAAAGCCAATTTTTTTTAAGAGGGGAAAATCATCGATTGACTTCTCCCGCTTTAATGTCAGACTCTTACTGACTAAAAACCACCCCGTTCCTCCTCCTGGTAACCAGGGCTCCGGCTCGACGTGCAGGATAAGGAACGGGGTGGTTTTTAGTCAGTAAGAGTCTGACACTCCCGCCTCACCCAGGCGGGAGCAGTCATTCGATGATTTTCCCCACTTAAAAAAAAATACCTATACTTATGTACTGCATCTACATATTTCCCCATATCGGAAAATGTTTGGCGACAGATGTTCATTTAGTTTCGTAACTTTTACTCGTAGAACGCTATAAAGTTTGAGGGCAAACTAGTCCGTTGAAATTCTGCTTATTTTGGTTTTTGAATTTTAACAAACAGGTATTAAATTTTCGTGGTTAGCAATTTTTCGAGTTGATAGTTTTCGTTTTTCTGTGAACTGCCGCTCTTTGATACGGATTTTGTGGTTTGACATCAGTTAGAGACTACAACTTTTTAGACGTTTATTTTCTTTTGCTGAGCGATTTTTCGTTCAGTTTTAACATCAAGTTAAATTTTATCTAGTCTACACTAGTAGGGGGTGGAGTAGGAGATATCTCGAATTCAAATAAAAACATGTGTAGTATGCATCTTGTTAGTAGACATAACATCACGCTTTTTATCCCCGAAGGGGTAGGCCGTGGTACACATTATGCCACTGTATAACGTAACACCCACTTTTCACTATTTATGTATGAGCCCCATGTAATAGGGAGTGATCCTATTGCCCATATACAGGGCACAATTTCAGACTCCGTGCTACTACTGAGAATTTTTTTAAAACCCAGTAATACTTTGCCCGACCCGGGAATCGAACCCGAGACCCCTTGCCAGGCAGTCGCACTTGCGACCACTCGGCCAACGAGGCAGTCAGTGTTAGTAGATATCTAATCAAAAACCAATTACCCTATTCTAATAACCACAGCATAACTTAACTAATCAGCTTCGAAAACAGAGCTAATCACCAGAAAATCACACTTAATAAATAATGAGTAGCTCTAAAACTAAAACCAACATTCCAATCAACTCCATAACCAATCAGAACAAGCCAAAAACCACTTTAATCCTAATAAATTTAGAACAACATATTCCATTTCAACAATTTCGCGATTCTATCAAACCAATTCTATTTAAGTTGGCTGTTGACATGGACAGAACTCATTTAACTAAGCCACAGCAGAATCGAGTGCGGCCATCAATGCATTTATTGATATAATGTGAATGGAGAGTGCAAAACTTTATGTACAAGCGCACGTGTGTTGTTACTAGCGGCGTGATATCGAGGCGTAATGTGCGAAGATTACAACATGACTATTGTGTTTATGTCGTGTCTAGTAGTGTAGATCATTGTAAAAATACGAATTTAGTTTTAAAATATTGGGTTTTAACAAGTGTAAAATATTTCAGATTGTAAATAATATAATTACTTTTGATATAGTTTACATTGCAAATACGTATGTATTTGGAGTTTTATCATTTTAAAAAGTTATTGAATATAGGAACTCTCTTATGTTTATGTATTTGGCAAAAATAATAAAAGAAATAAAATATACTCTATCATAAACTTATCTTTGTAGTAATGTTTAAGTAGCTTATATTTATTATGAAAAATATTATTATGTCCAGATTCTCACAAGACCTTTGCTCAAGTTTCATTTTGGGTAAACTTGGAGAATCAAATAGAAACAAAACCTTTTTTACTTGAAGAGTATCGAGTAAGATTACAAGAAGGAAAGTTTTACTGAGTTTTACTCGGTAATATTACATTTTTGGAAGATTATAATCAGTATGTAACTAGTACTTTTAGTAGAGATGTGTTTATTTTATTATTCTTGATTATAAGTACTGAGACTGCACTTTTTTCGTTTATATTACTTTAGCATCATCAAAATCAACAGATGTGGCATCCACTCCACTGTACTGACTGCAAAGACTGCACGGATGGCGCGGTGGCTGGACAACTGGCTGCCCCGCAATGTGTTGCGGGTGTCGATTCCTGCACGGAACAACTCTTTGTGTGATCCACAGATTGTTGTGTCTGGGTGTCATGTGTATGAGAACTTTATGTTTGTAAACGCACCCACGATACAGGAGAAAATCTTAGTGTGAGGCAACGTTTAAAAAAACTTCATAGCTATGCTATATGAGTCTCCTCTGCCTAAGAAGGTTTGTTGTAGCCTCCAAACTTGGTTAACTAAGAATGCTGCTATCTGAGTACTAATATGTTCAATAATAATTAAGTAGTCTTTTAGTTGGTTCTAAAAAGTTTACATTCCGCAGAGTACAGTCACACATTTAGACAACTCTTTTATTATAAAAAACCGTTATCAAAAAACTTATACATAAAAAAAAAGAATTTTCATCGTGATACTAATAATAAAGGTAATCTCCCTTCCCTATACAAACCCGCAATCACTTAAAACAGTCGAACAAAAAAGCGATTTTATTTTTTATAAAAAAGTCTTCAACTGCCTTTGCTCTTTAGGCATAGAGATGGCATTCCCTTTTCAAACAAGCCTTTGCACTGATTGGCTCTTTCTTTCAAACGTATCGGTCTGATTGGTCGGTTTTTGTACATCGAACGTTCTAGAATCTAGTTTGAATTTTTAACGTTTAACGGAATTTTATGATTACGTAAAGGAATTCGTTTGAGATCTTTGCAAATGAAAATGCTTGTTATATTTTTCTTTTTCTTCTCTGCTTGGAAATGTGTTCATAATATCATGAAATTAAAATACTTTGAGTGTTTCTAGAGAGTTTATAGCAAGAAGTGAAAATAATTGTTGTGATGGTTGTTCGAGGTAATTAGATTTCCTGTGAGAATAAATATTCCCCGAACTCACAAAAGTTACATTACATACATATCTTTCAGTAAATATCCAAAACCTATAGAAACACGTAAGTTACAGCACACACATTAGTCTCAGCCCTAATTACAAACAAAAGAGAGATTCCTTTCCATCCACTATGAGTTGATCGCCTCTGATTCGTTAATTTGAATATCGATAAAAAGAAGCGGTGATATTCCAATTTTAAAATTCATCACGTTTCTCCCCTTTCTTGTCGTCCCTAGGGGTGCACTCTTTGTCGTTTTTATACTTTTTGATGCAAAGTGACGGTTATTTTATTATGGCCATGCATAAATTTATTTGAAAAAGGAATACCCTTGGTAGTTTTTGAAGTGGCCATTGTTTGTTGTAAAATAAGTTATACGAATAATTCAATGGTTGGATGTTTCGACAATATTTTACTTTTTTACTTCATTGCTAAATATGTGTATCGTTGTTAGTATCGCAAGTATGACTACCGAACAATGTGTTCCAAACTCAATTCCTAAATCGTGCAAAGTATTTTTGAAATTTTTATTTTTTATATGTTTGTAATAGATGATGACGATGTTTGTAATTCTGCCCGGTATTTGACAGCAGAAATACATGCATGAGACGTATCACAAAATGGTGAAAAGTGATAATATCACTAAAAAATAAACTAAAATCCACTACACACTGTAACACAAAACACTATAAATAAGCAAATAAGTGAGGTTTGTAACAAAAGCTAACGAAAATAAAACACAACGCAACTTACGAGATTTCCTTAACAAAGAGAGGACGATTTAGTTTTAAGCTCTGCACCAATTATATTTTACTACTGCCGGCTAGTAGTGGGGCCAGGAAATAAACGGGTTGTTATAGTAGTTGTATAGAGTAAGCCTGGAATTTGTAGAAGTTTATTTTCTTTTACGTTTTACGATGTTATGTGTACACATGTAAACTCTAGCCTTTATTGCAAGTGTAAAGTAGAATAAACAGTTTATATTTTCCTTGATCCACGTTCATTTTCTCCACATTCAGATTCTTTAGTACTTACTCTATTTGTGTATATGTATAATTGTTCGAAGCTTCAATGTTTATATTAAAACTTTCGTGAGACATACTAAATTAATTATTATGTTAATATGAGCCTCTAGCATGGCTTAAAACTAGTCGCGTTCCTCGTCAAAGAGATATGTACGTGAATAAGCCGAAAACATAATAATCAGCTTCGAAGTTAATATTTCTTCAATTGCACTGATAACAATTTGTAATATTTTAAAACAGATATTTCCAAAAATACTCTATGGGAAGCCAAAGAATCACAAAGCTACACCCAATAATTCGACAAGGAAATAATTTATTACAAACATAAATCGCTATCCGCTTCCACATA